TCAAGGGAGGAACGACCTAAGACAGGCAGTCACAGGGGGGCCATCAGGTGAGAAATTGGGGATCAACAGAGGTGAGGCTTAGAACCTCACCCCCCGTTTTGAGAGAAATCTTCTGCATCCGTGGATGTTTTGTTGCCCTTGTCTAGCTTGGATTAAGTCTACAGGCACACACCTGATCATCTACATTTGCCCTCTTACAGCACTAAACTATGTTTTCTACCTTTATCTTGCATCTACCTACCACTTCAGCATTTTATTTAAAAAAAAAAAAATAATAATAATAATAAGGGAGAAATGTGGGATTCACATATAAATCAAGTATAAAAATCAAACAAAGAATCATAATTGACCTGAGTTTATAGTTCATGAGGCGTGATCAAAACCAAAAGTTTCTGTGATATGACTGCTCTTGCACTGTTCACCATGTAAGAACTTGTTCACCATGTAAGAACTTGTTCGTTATGCTTCAGAAGATTGGAGACTGTTGAGAATTAGGCTTGGGGTTAATGATTGTGCATTGAGTCCCCTATACAGAATTTTATTGTTGTTAACAACCATATGATCAATAAATATGAGAGATGCCCTCTCAAAAACAAACAAAAAAAGAAGTCCAAAGGTACTCGGTATAGGGCTAGGTGGCTGGTAGGTAGTTGTTCCATGTTAGAAATTTAAGTTTCTTGTCTTGTTTTACCATTGTGTTTTTCACCACATGGCCCAAGATAGCAATTGTTTCAGCCATTATATCTAAATTCAAGCCAAGAAGAGAAGGGCCTTTCTAAAAAGTTACACACATTTCAACTTTCATGCCTCTCTCCAGTTGGAATCTAATCACATGGCCTACACTATCTGCAAATGAAGCTACAAAATATAACCTTTAAATTGGATGGCCATGTGCCTGTCCTCTGAAAATTTTTTTTCCCACAACAGAGCTTATATTGATTTTTAGTATGTAAAAGGAAATGAACACTCGGGCTCAAGCACTGACTTTTCCTCCCTCAATTTGACTTTCACTTTGTGTTACCCTGTATTGCCAGACTCTTGAGCCTGAGAAGCTGAATAAGGCAAAGGCATGGTTGTTCTTCAGTGTTTCACTGACCAGTCCTGTCCTTTTTAAAAAAAATGTAACAGGTCTTGCTAGCTGGGTGACAGGTAATTCCAGGGATGGTCTGTGAAAGCCTTACCAAGAACAATCTTTTTATAACTAATTTAATGAGCTGTAAGAGTGGGGATTTTCCTTTTCAAGCCTCTTCCTCCACCTCCGTTTTTGGCTTCAGGAGGAATAGGTGATGGACGAAATAGGCTTTTGTGTGTGAGCAGAGGGCAGTATCTTTGCAAGAGCGAACTAGCCACTCACTGGTCCTGTGCCTCTTCTGTTTGCTGCTTTGGTTTCCAACCCATTTCTCTTTTCTCAGGCTCACTCCAGTAGTTTTTTCCTATTCTCATATCCCTAACGCATGCACAAAGTGTTTTTAAAATTGCCTAGAGATTTGATCTTTCACAAAGTTTTCCTCCTTCACCTTCCAACCCCTACTTTTTCCATCATAACAAATTCCCAAAACTTTACAGGCTTAGACAAAACCAATTTATAATCTTAATAGTTCTGTAGGTTGAACTCTGATATGGGTCCCCCTGGGCTAAAATGAAGGTGTTGACAGGGCTGGCCTTCTTTCTGGAGGCTCCAGAGGATTTGTTTCCTTGCTCATTTGGATTGTTGGCAGCATTCAGTTCCTTCGGTTTTTGGATTAGATAAGATCCATTTCCTTGATGTTTGGCAGCTGAAGGCTGTTCCCAGCTTCTAATGACTAACGCATTCCTGGGGTCTTTCCTCCATCTTCAAAATCAGCAACAAGGGATTCCTGCTTTGAATTTCTCCTGCCTCTTCGGTCTTGTCTCCCTGACCCACTTTTCTGCCTCCCTCTTCTACTTTTAAGGTCTTGTAATTAAACTGAGCCTTTGTGGATAATCTAAATTTCTAATTTCAAGGTCCTAACTTTAATCACATCTGCAAAGCCCCTTTTGCCAGTATTCACAGTTCTGGAGATAGAATATGGACAACTTTTGGGGAACCATTATTCTGGCTACCACTATCTTAACCAACTTTCTAGGTCAAAGGAAGGCAAATTCTAGTTGTACTCCTTAAATGGGATTTAAGAGAAGCTTCCTTCACGAGGACCAACTATCCAATGCATAGCTCATACAGTACACATTTAAGAGATTCTAATTTAGAACCTGACGGGGGATGGCTCCATACTTCTGCTCTGCCCTTCCCTTTTGAGCACATTATCTGGCTTTCCTACTAGACTGTAATTTCTTGGAGTACAGCAGTGGGTTTTAATAACCATTACATCCCGCACTGTACTGTTTTTTTCAAGTAATGACTTAAAATAATTCAGGACTTTTAAGGTCATCTCATCACAGTTGCTGCTAGGGATGAACATGTTGATTCTAAGACTGGACAAATCAAGATTAGAAGGGTGGCGTTGATGTGGATCGAAAAAGGATGACTTCAAACCCCTTTTTACTTTTTGTAAGAGGCTGGAGAAGTGGGTATGTCCTTTGCTCCATTGCCATGCTAGTAGCAGCTGGGATAGTCTCAACTGAAGAGCAGAATGGAAACCACAATGCTGGAGCTTCTTACGTTACTTAAGTAGAAGCAGTGAAGTGGCAAATGGCTACAAACTGAAGGACTGAGAGGCATTCCTCGGCAGCACAAAGAGAGAAGTAGCTCTGATTTTAGATCAACTTGCCCTTTGTGAGACACCCAAATTGGGAAGTGATGCATGTTACAGATTTCAGTTAGAACCACAAAGCAGACCCAATTTTGTGCCAACTCTCACTATATTCCCAAACCCCGATGTGCATGGTGACAGGCGGTAATGACAAGCGGCAACTTTACAACCTTTTCACATTCCTCCCAAAGTCTCTCCCCCTACTGTATCCAGCCCCTTTTAATTCCATCTCCTGGGTGGGAGAGGGGTGTATCAGCTCTTGTTTTGGATAAAACTTTCTAACCATCACACCTGCTGCAACATCCCTTAAACTGAATATTCTCTGTTCTAGGCAGACTGTAGAGGAATGGTTGAGAAACACACACACTGGTTGATATCTCCAGGTATTAATATACCACAAAATTACACCCCTGTAGCCTTCTGCTCCGTAAGTCTGATCACTCCTTCAAAGGAATGACTTCTGGATGTTATAATGGGTTATTTGACAACTTTGATTTATTTAAGTTGGTTTCCACTTACAACTGATTCTACCTGGTATTTCATTTCCCTCTAGAAAACCAACTATTTAAAATGTACACACACGGATAAATATATATATATATACTTATATATGAATTAAGTGCTTTCAGCAAATGGGATGAGCCCTCAGATCGCCCTCATGTTCTGGCGGAGACACTTTCTGGATTATGGTGGAGGGAGAATGAACCCCAGCAGAGGATAGCAATCTCACAAAATTAAAGGGACAGAGGCTGGAGTTTAGAGAAAAACACCTAAATTCCTGAGGGAGAATAGAGAGGTGGGAGCTGCACACAGAGTTCTAGAAATCTGCACAGGGATTTCCTTAGTTTTTTAGCTGAAATTATAAGATTATCAGAACTATGTCTGAGTGCTTCTTTCAAGCGTTAGAGAATGTAGTCTGACATCACTTTTGGCCATTTTTGCCCATCTTTTGTTTCTCATTTCTAGTTGAAGTTGTTGGAAGGTGAGTACCAGCCAAGCAAGACATTAAATTTATACCTTTTATGGAGTTTTCACATGTGTAAAGTGAGGGAAAGCACAGTCCACTGATAAGGTTAGAAGTTCAGTATGGCTGTTGCATGCAATTGAGGGGATAAGAAAGGAGTTTGGCCTTTATCCCAATGAGAAGCTTCCTCCACCAGGACCAACCCCAGTGACACTAGGATCCACTATTAAGCCAGGAAGGGATGGTGGTGATAGAAGATTTGATGGGAATGTTTATAGCTGTGGGTGGTGAATGGATTGTAAACAGGAAGATCAGTAAAGAGGTTCTTGTGTCATACATCCAAGTTAGTGATGGCCTGAATAGAACAGAGGCATTGGTTTATGAAAGCATAACTGGAAGGTGTTTTGGAAATAGAAACTGACTATATGCAGTAATATATGTGGCTTTGGCAAATAAGTAGCTGCAACCCCTATTTTTTATTAAAAAGACAAAACTGAACAAGAAACAGCGTATAGGGCATAGGGTGAATTAGGTGGTTTTCTTTAGTTCTACAAGTGCTGAGTTTTTTATTTCTATGGGCTATCTAAACAGAAATGTACGTTCAGTAAGCAATTATATTTATAGGGTATGATGCTCAGAAAGGAAATATCAGTTGGAGATACAGATGAAAGTCTGTAAAGAGAAAGGAGTCATCAGTGTATCAACATTAAGGTGCTCTAGAGGACACACATAGAAGGTTTTGAAAAGGATACAGACAAAATAGAAGGCCACCCACATGACAGCATTATCTATATACATCTAATATAAGTATACTAACATATATTTCAAAGGGTATGAAGCTAGTTTAGTAGAGATGATTATACACTTACAACACTTTACAATGGATTTCTCAAATATCTAAATTTTATGCATTGGTGAAACTTTGACTTACCTTCATTTTTTGCCTACTATCTTTAAGAATTTTGTGAATTTTTTTATTCTAATTAAAATTAATTTTTACACCAGAAACTAACTTAGAAAAGGGAATGTTGACCTTAGTGCTGGGTTTTTAGAAAACCAAAATGTTCAGCCCTAGGTCAAAAGTTTTATTCAGATGCAGTGATCCATGTGAAATTGTGTACTGACCAGTATTTACTGCAAGAGTAACATTTCTATTTCAAGGCTATTTATTCTAACTACTATAAGTAGTAACATCACTTGGTGTACTTTTGAAAACAGAGTACAGTTTTTCCTCTGATGTTTAGAGCTAACAGATGTAATTAACATTATAGAATTATTGTAACATGTGAGATCAACAACTACACATATAGTATTCAATGTAATGCTTTATTTCCTATTATATTAAACTAAAGGCAAGAAAATATCAACTTAATTTTAAAGGCAAATCTTTACTCCTTAAAGAAAAAAAATACAAACTGTAGTACTTTTGCAATAGATCACTGTACTTTACATAATATAAACAAAATCCTAGTGTATCTAGATGCTTGTTTCCTTAAACTACAATGAAACACAGAATTGGTGGACTATGGGTTCACTTACTGGCAACAAATAAACAACTTGGGAAAACAGCATGCACTTTTTTTCTGTCCATGCATGGGTACCAACATAACCAGGCTTTAATAGCCACCACCTCTTCCTTGTCCAAAGTATCCACTCCCATAGCCCCCCCTGCCACCTCCTCCTCGCTGGAATCCCCCAGATCTCCTGTACCCTCCTCCACTAGACCCTCTGTAGTCTCCCCCTGAGCCACCTCTGTAGGCACCTCGGGGACCGCCTCTGTAACCTCCACCATACCCTCCCCGATAGGAGCTGGAGCTGCCACCGTAACCACCACCTCCGTAGCCTCCACTGGCCCCATAGCTTCCACCATAGCCAGCACCTCCCCTTCTGTAGCCACTTCCATTGTCATATCGGGCCATCTTGGGAGGACGTGGGCCATCTCCATACCTAGGAAAAGCACAAAACCACCACTTTAGCAAAGCATCTTTAATACTTCTCAACTAATCACAAATTAAAACAGTCATATATTTTTTAAAATTATTGCATAAGGTGAATGAAATCAAATGCACAGATACAAACTGAAATAAGTCAACTACTCCAGAAGAGAGAGAGAAGGCTGCACCAACTGAGACCATCTGTTTTTCTTAAGTTCTTTCTGGTTCATCTCCAAGACTTTAAATTTTGTCAGTATGTCCTTGCAACTGTAAAGTGAGTTGTCTTGCACTGAGTTCAACCATATAGCATTCTAAGAAATCACTAATATGTTAGGAAGAAGCTCCTGGAGCTGGCAATAAATTATTTGATTTTTATCACCCAATATTTTCCTGCATTAACTCTGAAATATGTTTCTGGGAAAATGTCTTTGGTAATTTGTTTACGACTAAATCTACTGCAGATGGCAAACAAGGAAAATGAGGGGTAATGAGAAATTTCAAGTATCATGACGTCTCACCAACAACTTCAAAGTACCCCACACTGCTTAGTCCTCCTGTGCAGCTTTCCTCAGAGACAAGCACTCCCAGTTCAGCAGCTGTCCAAGTCAGAAATATGGCTAGGACCTGTCTTCATTCCTTCACTGCACTGCTCCCCCATTTTAATCCATAACTGATTTGTATGGACTCTACTACAACTCTGTCTCATCTATTCACTTCTCCCTGTTTCAGTTTGGCCCTGCTAGAACTTAAGAAGAATCCTAAATTCTTTCTTATATTAATCCTATCTTTCCTTTCTGGACCTTTGTCCTCCATAGAGCAGATTATACATAAAGCTCTTCCTTGATCACCACATCTCCTGCCAAAAGTAACCTCTTTAAACACCTATGAGCACTGCATTTGTATGTGCCTAAGACATTTACTTTAAATCTTTGTCTCTGAAGACTGTTTTAAATAATTCTTCTATACACCAGACCCACTGGGAGGACCACAGTACAGCATTATAAATGAGAGCACTGTTTTCAGGAACTATGCTGCATGAGTTTGAATACCATTCACTGTACAGCCTTGGGTCCTGACTTCTCTGTGCCTAGTTTCCTTATTCATATTAAAGGGGATAAATGATCCATCTACATTAGAGGTAGATCAAATGTTAAAGTTAGTATAAGAAAAGCACTTGGCACAACACCTGTCACACACTAAGTACCACAAGTTTAATTAATAAATTTTAAAATATAACTCAGTTACAGCAAAATGGGAATCCGTAAAGCACCCAGAAAGTCTATATATTAAAATGGTAACAAATACCATAAGTGATCCTTGATGGGGAGATTAAAGGGTATCTTTGGATAACTAAAAATATTTTAACATGTTTGTATATTGGATATCATTACTGTAACAATTAAAATTTTAGGGTGTGATCATGATATTGTAGCTATATTCTTAAAAGATACATGAAGCACACTGATGTTAACCTCTGCAACTTAACCACAAGTAGATGTGTGTGATATGTATATGAAAACAAGTGTCACAAAACGCTGACAATTAAGTGAACCTGACCTAAGAGACTGTATGGGTATTCAATATACTGATCTGCCTTTAGCAGTTATCAAATATTTCCAAATAAAAAACTGTAGGCTAAGAAAATTTTTAAGAGGTGAAAAACATGGAAGCAAATAAAACATTCTAAGAATTAAGAGACATTGAATTTCTCTTTAAAGTATTTACATTCTTGAATTTCCCTAAGGTAAACCCTGATGCATTAAGTAATAATTTAACCTCCCGTCAACACCTTTTTTTTGTATTTTGGTAACATTAATCTACAATTACATGAAGGACATTATGTTCACTAGGCTCCCTCCCTCACCAAGTCCCCCCCACATACCCGTTTCACAGTCACTGTCCATCAACATAGTAAGATGCTGTAGAATCACTACTTGTCTTCTCTGTGTTGCACAGCCCTCCCCGTGCCCCCCATGCACTATACATCCGTCAACACTTCTTTAAGAAAACAGTGCTGTGGAAAGGACTGTCTGGGCTCTGTCACTTCCGTTAGGTGACCTACTCTGAACTCTATATGTACTTTTAAGGTCCCTTTCTATCTCTAACATGAACTCAGAGACAAAACTAACATCCTTTTTTCTCAGTGTGTTAATCAGCATTAAATTTCATACTCAGTGTTTGCCTAGAATTTTAACTGAAATAAAGAGGCTTCTATCAACTAACTCTGGGAATTTTGGGCCAGTGTAAGATTACCATCCTTTGCTGAGTTCAAAGAGAAGTTAAGTTACTGTGGTACTCACCGTGTATTCCCAATCATAAGGTTGATACCAGCAGCAGAAGGCCTAGAGATCTGACGGATTATGTTCAGCATACGTTCATTAACAGGGTCCAACTGGCTGATGATATCAGGCTGTTTGGTTACTTCAACAACCAGAGCCTCCATGGCTGCCCGGAGAGCAGTGATACAGGCAGCAGCTTCATGAGATATTTGCAGTCTGATCCTAAAATAGAAAAAAAAAATAAAAAAATGACAAGGATACATACAGAAAAAGATTATTATCTCTCAACCTTACACATGGCAAGTGATGGAATGAATTTAACTTCTTACCAAATACCAGTACTTTCTACCTCTGTAATGGTCCCAGACTTATGTGAATATGAGAATAATAATCTATGGTAACTTCTTAAAACTTACTGCTCGTTACTGACAGGACTTGTAAACCATAAAGTATATCAAGCAAAATCACTCGGCTTCCAATAAAAGAATGAATTAAGAGACTCAAGTAGTTGGGAGTTTTTAAGTTGTCGAAAATATGACTGAGCCTACTGATGTCCATTGAGCTCTACTCCATTTTTGCCAAGTGATTACAAAGTGCTTCTCACTAGTCTCTAACCAATGTATATACGATACATGGAAAAGTAACCAACCTCCATTAGGTTCTAATTTCTATGGTGGTAGATGCGGCTCCAATGCCTAGTGCACCTGCTTCTGCTGGCAGAGTCTATTCAAAACTTACTACCAAGTATGAACAATACTATCAAGATATACTACTTGCTTCAAAAACACAAATGTTATAAAGCACCTCATTTGTGCCATCAAATTCTGCCATGCTTTGTTTCACAGATTACATTAGATTAGATGAATTCTATTATGTCTCAATTTTAAGAATTCAGCTTGGAGTTCACATCTGGAAATCCATACCAGTCATCTACAAGCACAATCTGCCCATCAGACTGGACTTTCTTGGAGGCAAAGAGCAGCAGCTGCAGTGGGGTGACTAAGGTCATGCCTTTAGCAGAGATGGCCCGGGTTCGAATCTGCAGGTGGAGAAAGGGCAAGAGGAAAGAGCTGACATTTCACTGCCAAGCAATGACCATATCATGATAATGAATCATGCTTTGAAAGTTAATTTCATGTTCCCACTTCACATCAATAAAAACAATCTGAATCTTCAGTGTAAACTTCTCTAATCCTTTCTTACCTTTTCACCAAATACAAAGAAGGGAGATGGGTACTTCATGTCTTGGCTACTAAAAGGACAATTAACAGATGACTTGTGGATGAGTGCATTACGCCCTTCAGTGGTGAGAATCTTTCTCTTCTCCTTATGATAGCACACATTGGGGTATACACCAAAGGCCAGGAGAGAGATAACAACATCCAAATTATTATCTGGTCCGGTGTTAGTAAACACTTGTGTTAATAAACAATCTGTTAAGAGGAATGGAGAAAAAAAAATCAGATTACCTCACTAATCCCCACATTGCACATAAACTATTTATGAATTAGGAGAACTAACTCATTCCCAAACCTCTTTTTTTCAAATAAACATAATTTCCGTTCTTTTCAGAACTCTCGCACCCAGAGTTAAGTTCAAGGAGGTTCTGCTGCAGTCCCCACAGTAAGGAAACTGCAATGTCTGCATCCACTTCTGGGCTCCACCATGAAAGGAGCTCAGAACGGTTACTTAAAAAAAACCCCAATTAATCACTTACTCTCAGAATTAAGAGCTGGAGTGATAGGACCACAAAGTATTCCATCTACTTCTCTTAACTGTCTGGAGAAGATGGCATGATGAGACAATTCAAGGGGGGCCCAGTAGAAAGAGGGCTGATGGTTCCCCCCAGACTGTGCTTATGAGGACTTCATCACAGTTTGCAAAGAACGGTGGTGAGTGCTAAGAACATGGCTATATTTTTTGTCTTAGGCAAGCCTGAGCTGTAGTCTTATAACCATTGGACTAGTCCAGACAAATAATTTACACTTCCTTGTCAGTTTCCTCATCTATAAAACAGAATAATATCTGTACTGCGGGACTGTTGTGAGGATTCTAGCATACAAAAAATGTTCTTCCCTTTTAATTTTGATATAACAAAAATCACAAGTCAGTTCACAACAGAAGAGAACTACTTTGTTACTTAGATCATATTCTTTAAAAATTTGCCATCTTGTCTAACTACCTTCTCTCTCAACTGAACAGCCATTTCTGGTATGTGTTCTAGCTCTTGATGTTTCAGGGACTAACTGTCTCTTAATCTAGTTGGAGAAGAAAAGTACAATAGCTCATCTTCATAAAAGAAATGAATAGCTGGTTTCTGTTTCTACACCACTTACAACAACCTCTCTCTACACTAAAACCCACTTAAAATTTAAAAATATGTAGACCTCACATCTAAAAATGATCAAAACAGCAAGACAGATAATCACTTCAAAACCACTATTTGAAATTATTCAATAACTGCTCATCCGGAAAGTGCTAAAAGCTGAATCAGTATTCAAAATGTTTTTTTTTTTTTTAAAAAAACCTCCCAACTAGCACAATTCTTAAAACAGCCATTAATCATCTGTGTACTACATTGCAACTGCAGCATCATTACCTTTTGCTTCCTTTATAAAAAGACTGAATTAGTGAAAGACTTATACTCTGAAAACTACAAGTCACTCTTAAGAGAAATTAAAGGGGA